TTAAAATTACCTGAGCTTGAATTTCTTTTTCCCCAATAAAAATGAAATGAAGGCCCATAATTGCTAGAGATATAATGGCTGACATAAGGATTCCTATTGCTAAAATGATCAAAATCAAATAACGACGACATCACACATCGATCAATTTCTCAAAATCAAATAACGACGACATCACACATTGATCAATCCATCTAATATTCACGAAATGTCAACAAAATCTCGAAAAGTAATTATTTCGACCATTTGAATTTGTATTTTCATCATTTTTTCAATTTCTCAAAAATATAACCTTAGGAAATAGAGAGCCCAAAACCGGAAAGAGATCATCTCTGAATCTCTTCTTCCAAAGTCCAATAATCAAGTGATCCAGGCCTTTGAAATTTGATCAAATGGCCAAAAATTATTATAGCTTTTAATTTTTTTTACTAACTTATCTGTTTTTTGCCGTTAGATTAAATTTCAAAGGTCAGGATCACTTGATCCCTGAATTTTGGAGAGAGATCCGGAGAGGATCTCTTTCCCCCAAAACCCACCCCAAACACACAAGCTGTAGGCCCACCCAACCAATTTCTCCATCTATGTTTGATGGGTGGGACTCACATTGTTTTTATAAAAAAAGTTTAAATTATTTTACTCTTAAAGGAATTTTAGTTTTGTCACTTAAACTACGGTGAAGTGGTATTCCTCTTCACTTGTAAGTGAGATATTTTAGATTCGATTCTAGTCAAATGTGAATTTGAACCATATTATTGCTAGCTCATTGTGAGACAAAACTCACCTCTCTCCATTACTGTAGATAATATTAATTGTTAATAAAAAACACAATTTTATTTTATAAAAAAAAATTCTTAACAAAAAAAAAAAAAATTTTTTTTTAATTTTTTTTTCTTTTTGCCTATGTGACGTATTTGTGACATACATTTCAACATAAATGTAGGTTTTAAGTTTGCCACATCACTATTTAAGGTCAAGTTAACGAATCCATTAACAGGTATATGACTAGGGGTGGGCAAACGGGCCTTGACCTGCGGTCTGGGGCAGGTTCGGGGCTGGGCGGGTTTAAGTATATGGCAGCGTGGGATGGGTCCAATTTCTAAGTATACACGGGCCCCCCGCCCATACCATATACACATGCATTCATTCATTCTTTCTCACACACACACACACAAAGGTCTCTGCAATTCCTCTTTTGGTTTCTCCGGTCCTCCTCAGTCCTCAATCGTCTTCGTCGATTCTTAAACTCAGAGACTTTCCTCCTTCTTGATCTTTCTCTCCCAGATCGTCTTTGTTGATACTTAAACTTGGAGACTCTCCTCATCTCAATCTCCCTCTCCCATATCATCTTAATCGATTCTTAAACTCAGAGACTTTCCTCCCTCTCGATCTCTTTCTCATAGACTGACCAACTTTCGGTTTCCCAGACTAACCGAATTCTCGATAGTTGAGCTCCCTCCTTAGCCCCTCTCAACTTCGACCACCATAATGATCCATCTCAAAGCCACATCTTCAAACAAAAAGTATTCAAATATGACGATCCATCTTGAAATTTCCAATGTGTAATACCTGCTGTTGTATGAAGCTTACTCAGATCAAAATTGAATTATTATTATTATTTTTTTATCTAGGTTGAAGATTGCATTATTATATATGTGTTTTTTTGGGTTCTTGCTAATTTTGTAGTTGATTGGATATATGGGTTGTTGTTATTTGCAAGAATTTGAGTTGAAACATGCATGTAAGGCCCTAGGAACTTGAAATTTCTTGAAGCTTCATAGATCTGTTCGCCGCTTGTTGTAGGTCAAGAGAAAGCACAATAGGGAGAAGGACCCGTGGACCCGTAAGAACCAGCCTGTTTTAAACGGGCCAAGTTAGGTCCAGGTTCCAACTTTTATTTTTTTGTTACTTGGCTCGGCCCACCCCGTTTCATTTTCCAATGGGTCCAGTCTGGTTCCTTCAATTTTCGGCCCGACTTGGCCTGTGCCCACCCCTATATATGACATTGAAATGAAATAATAAATAAATATATGAGATTGAAATGTTTCAAAATATTGTATAAAGTGCTGTTGAACACAAATATAAAGAAGTAGAATGCAATTTACCTTATCTTTTTACTTATTTAATATAAGGAAAATTAATGAAAAAGGCTTGAAAACTTTGAGTTTTAACGATAAGAACAAAATAAAGAGCAGGCCCCGCCAAGGCCCAATGCCACCAGGACAACTGTCCAGGGCCCAAACTTGAAGGGGCACCAAAAAAAATCCAAATAATTAGGTGATAGGTATAAAAATATCCAGAGCCCAAAATAACATAGAACGGCCCAGGTTTTTCCGTCCACTTCACCCCCCCCCCCACTGGGCGGGAAACACACAGTTATAAAGTTTTAAGACACAAATACCCCTAATCTTTTTTAATTTACACCGTCTAAATTATAAAACAAACCCTAAAATTCTCTCTCTCTCTCTCTTCTCTTCTCTCTTTCGTAACCTGTAAGATTCGCAGCTTGTTTTTGATTGCCACCTCGATCCCTTCCCAGATTTTTCTCTTACTCGGTATGCATTATCTCTCCCTCTCACTCTCTCTTAATTCTCTTTTTCATATTATTTGTTTCTGGACTTTGTCTGTGAAATTTCTTGAATTTGTTGGTTTTATTTGATGGGTTTCTCTTTAATTTTGATTTCACGTTTAGAACAATGATGGATTGGTTCCTTTTCTCATCCTTATTTTCTGTGTTGGGGTTTCAATTGCCATATTTTAATGTGATTTTATTATGTCTGTGATTTCTAATCCCTTGAAAATATAACTGTTTCCTGTATTCCTGGTAATTAGGAGTTTTTCCCCCATCTTCTGAGTTCTATTTGCTTGGAAAAAGTTGTTTCTGGAACCTAAAGTGTATATCTTTGAATGTGATTTTCTATAGAGAAATTTATTAATGGAATTGATTGGTGGTGGCCATTTGTGCCATTTGTGCCATTTGTGCCATTGGTGGTGGCCATTTGTGCCATTTGTAATTCTCCCACTGGCGATTTGTCGGTTTCAACTGATATACATCCTATACAAAAACATGTTTCAATTACGAAACATTAGCTGTTAGTGGCTTGTTTGATCAATATTACAAAGAACTGGGAATTTTCCTTGTAGGAATATGTACATGGCTTGTTAGGCAGGCTTTAGCTGCCCAGAATCCGAAAAATTGAGCATCTTACACTATAGTTCTTATGAAGGCCATTGATCATCTTCACAAATGATTAGGCATCCTCATGGTACTAATTTGTTCTCTTGAAATTAAGTTGTCCTCTAGAATTTCCTTTGAATCTCTATAAACCTGTTCTGTTTTGGAGACTAAGCTTTTGAGTTTTGCTATCCTTGCAAGCTTAGAGGCCTTCACCTTGCACCCAAGGTCCCGACTTCAATTCCCCCCTCCCTGGTATCGTTTGTAGAAAAAAGAAAGCCATTTGCAGGTTTATGGGTAAATTGATGAATACCTCTATTTTATATGATTGGATGAATATCTGATTGGATTGGGATGTATTGGATGTGTGTTTAATACGTTATGTGATTGGTTTTTTTTCTTGCAGCTGCTACACCAAAACAAATTAGAGAGTTAATGAAGGTTGATGGGATTACTAATGATGAAGTCAAAAGCCATTTGTAGGTTTGTATATGTGATTATCCATCTGTTTTGGATCATAATTTGGTTGATGTGAATAAAATTTTACACATACATGACAGAAGTTGGAAGCCATTTTGCATGCTATTAGAGCAACTCCACTATAGGAGTCCTTCCCCCAGGCTATTCACTATTCAATCCACCTAGTAAACAGTAACTGCCCTTAATGAACAGTAACTGTTTTTTGCATCTCTACCGTTGCACTTGAACAGCCCTAGCAATAGACAATAAAATAATAATAATTTTTTTATTTAAATTGCCTCTGGTGGGGTACATCCTTTGCTGATAAGCTTGAATTCTCACAACAAACACAACCCTCCAAAAAGCAAACGCTTTGAAGAAACTGCTTTTGCTGCTGCTGCTTGCTTTTGCTTTTTCTTGGCGTTTTTCTGCTCAAAACCCAACTCCAGCACACATCGAATTCCCTAGATTTTGATTTGGATTTGGCTTTTGGTGTTTTTGCTCCTTTGAATTCCTAGAAATGAGAGCGGGGCTGAGTAGGATCCAGCAAACGTTAACCCCAGAGGCGGCGAGCGTCTTGAACCACTCGATTGTCGAAGCGGGTCAACGGAACCACGACTAGACGACGCCGCTACATGTGGCAGCAACCCTTTTGTCCTCCCCCATTGACTTCCTCCGCCAAGCATGCATCAAATCTCACCCCAATTCCTCCCACCCTCTGCAATGCTGAGCTCAGGCTTACTAGCGCCGTGGCTGCCCTGAACAGCAGAAGCAACCTCTATTAGCTGTCAAATTCGGTTTCGTCGGAACCCATGTCTCCGTGGTCCTCAAAAAGCGTGGAGACGTCATCCTGACGTCAGCCCACGTCAGATTGCCTTCGGGCTCTTGGGCCGGCATGAATCGACAGGCCTGGCGCTCGAGCTTGCTCGGGCTCCCTCTCTAGCCAACACTGGACTTCCTCCCTCGAGCAATCCAGCCTTGTTCCGGAGCTCGTCCCTCGAGTAGGAGCTCCCGTTGGAGTTGCTCTTAGTGATGACTTGTTTTACACATACATGTGATTATCCTTGTTAAATATATTTTTTAAACATATGTTTCCGTATAAAAAAAGGATACATTTTGAGCTTTTGCACTGGGCACCAAAAGACTTAGGACCAGCTCTGATAAAGTGTAAATTGAGTAGTACCAGGATTGACTTTTTAGTATAAAAATATGATTTTTCATTAAAGTGAACGATACCGGATTTTGTTAAAGTTGCTTTTAATATATCTATATCCTAGATATTTTTTTGTCGTTAATTACCTATATAAAAAATGCATCAGTTTTAACTACCTATATTATAAATATCATTTGCTTTTGATATACTCTTCAAAGCCTTTCACAAAAAACCAAACCAGCCTTTCTGTGCCGCCTTTCACAAAAAACAAAACAAACCATTCTGTACCGCTTTTTACCCGATAAGTAATGAACTTCCCTTTTTACCCCTCAAGACCAGAAACAGAAACGGCAGCCGCCGGCACGGACAACCCGATTACTCCCCCTCTACTGATATGAATTCTCTCTCTCTCTCGCTTCCCTCTATCTCAGTTTCTCTCTCTATCTTCCAGGGCCGAAAGCACTTTAAGGAAAAATGAATCCCAGTTTATACTGAATCTGCCGCTTAATTACCCGGTTGCCGAAGTATTTCTCTCTCCACTAATGCCTTATCCTAGGAAGATAGAGAGAGAAACCGATCCGGAGGGGAGAAAGAGAGAGAAAAAGAGGGAGAAAGATTCCAGATCTGGGAATGTGGAGTGTGTTGCCGGAATCGGAGCTCACGCCGCCAAACCCCTCCCCCCGCCCTCCTGACCGCCACTCAATGCTGACAACAGAGCGAGAGTCCCCTTCCTCTCTCTCTTTCGTTGGCGGAGGACATGAACGGCAGCGCCGCGGGAAGGGAGGTGGGCTACTGCCGACGGTGAACTTCTTCGCAAAGGTTTTTCTTGTACGTGCCCTATATATTGGAATGCGTAATTTACGAAGACAGGAATTTACACGTGTCATCATTTAAAAGGAAGGATAGCGGGCCTGAAGATCTTTCCCCTGCTTTTGCAGCACCGTGAAAGCATGCATATTGTCCACATTGCCCCGACGGACAAAAATTCGAAACCACGAAAGAGGACATAACAGGGTTTTGGGCCGTGTTCGGTGTTCCATCACACTCGATCATTAACTGCTGTTTTTGGCTGATTAGTCCAAGTGAAAAAGGTATATATTTATCGCTTCAAATTTTTCTACTTATAGAAATTAAGATTGAGCAAATCACAGATCGAAGATCGAAGTGATGAATTCTGTGTTTTGATTTACTCGGGATACTGAAAGATCGATGTTCTTATATGATATGTGATTGAATGATATGCTGTATATTCTGCTGTGGTTTTGTTTTTTGGGAAGCTAAAGCTTACACTTAAGCCGTTTTTATATGATTTGTAATAAAAATTCAACCTTTTAAACTTTGATGAGGTTCTGTTGAAATTCGGATAGATCTTGACTTTGGTTCGGAGCTGTAGGCCACCCAGAAAACCGTCCTGGCTCCGACTTTGGCCACCCGGAAAAGCATCCTAACTGGCTTTATGATAAAGCCGCATCCTGACTGCCCTTAATTATGTACAGGCCACGTAGTTCTTAGTCATCTCATCGGTTAAGTCGCTAATTGGAGATTACGTAACTGTGAATGAAGGCAAATGTTATGTCGCTGAATAGAAAAAAACATGAATCAATCATATCCAACACTACCTTTGGTGTTTGGTTTGCAAGAAAATTACAAATTTTCAAGGAGATTTCGTAAGCTTCCCTTATCTGGAATTCTATGTGACCAGTCTGTATGTGTGTTACTTGCAGTTTGGATTCAGGGTTTTCTTTTTCTGGGTTTGGTGGTGGGATCTGCATTGTGAAGTGATGGGAAGGGTTCTTCGTCTGAAATTGGAGCGTGTGTGTTTTTGTGAATTCTTGTTTGGATACAAGGTTTTCCTTTTCTTGGTTTTGTGTGGGTTCTGCATTGAAAAGTGACAGGAAGAGTGTTTTCTCCAAAATTGGGGAATTTCTGTGGACAGTTGAGTTGATGGGGGGATGCATTTTGAGGCCACCGTTACAGGGGCAAAATTCATTTCGTTCAGAGGGTGGGTTGACAGAGTTAATCCTATCCCCGAGTCGGATTATGGTACTTGGATGTCTACTATGTTGCTAATTGGAGATTACTTAACCGAGAAGGCATATGTCTGTCAATGAATAGAATCTGTAATTCAATATCTTTAGGAGTCTGTCAATTTTTTGAAAATTTTGGGGGTCCAATCTTGAACATGTTTTAGCCTAAAATTAGTCAAATGTTCGTAAATGCTTGTGTTTGTGTCTATTGGAGCTTTGAATTCAAGTTTTTCATCTTTCTGGGTTTTGATTTGTGGTAGGTTCCTCCTGCATTGTGATTGCCAGTCTAGAATTGGAGAATTTCTGTTAAGAGTTGAGGTAATGGGTGGGTGCATTTTAACAATGCGGGGGAGGGCGAAGTTGTCTCAATCAAGGCCTTCTTCAAAGAGTGGATATCCTCAAGCCCATTTGCCAGCTTCTGAAGAAACTCAGAGCTATTACAATTCCCTGATTGAGGTAAGACTGGCACTGTAATGCAGTATTTTCTGCAAGCTTCTCTTTGTTGTTGAGATTTCCTTACCTGCCACAAGTGTTCAATTTTGCTGACTCAAATTTGTTTATTTTTCTGATTGCAGGTGATTCAGGCTCTTGAACATGCTCGTTTTGAGTCTTCCAATCTTATTGTGGGTATAGATTTCACAAAGAGCAATGAGTGGACAGGTTAAGCCTTCAATCTCTTGAAACATATGTACTATGCTGTGTGTTGCAGCAGTGAAACAAGCTGAAATTTGTTCTGTAAATAGGTGGAAGGTCATTTAACAAAAGAAGCTTGCACCACATTGGGGATTGTCCAAATCCCTATGAACAGGCGATATCCATTATTGGAAAAACCTTGGCTCGTTTCGATGAGGATAACTTAATTCCATGTTTTGGCTTTGGAGATGGTAATTATTAAATGATTACTTACCTTTCGTTTCTCTACGATTTTATTCTTTGGAACATTGGGTCGAGAAACACTGTTTTTCTAACTTTCAGCGACAACCCATGATGAAGATGTCTTCAGTTTTTATCCGGATGACAGACTTTGCAATGGATTTGAGGAAGTATTGACAACCTACAGGGAAATTGTTCCTTTTCTAAAACTTGCAGGTTTTACTGTTGCATTGCATCCTAGGTATTTATTCTTCTTGTTCGAGAAGTCTTCATATTCTCTAACTAGTCATTCTTCGTAATTCTTATTTCTGGCAGGTCCAACTTCATTTGCACCTATAATTCAAATGGCCATGTCTATAGTTGAGAAGAGTGGTGGCCAATTCCATGTCCTGTTGATAATTACGAGCGGTCAGGTATTTTACCTAAATATCGTTTCCTTTAGTTGAACATGCAACAAGAGGGCCAGTCATGCTATAAATCAACTTGTTTTTAGCTCAAAACACATGCTTGCTTTCTGCATTTTATGATTTGTGACTAACTAGAAGTGTTGATAATATGTGACAAAGCTTGGTGTGCAGAAGCAGAAGACAATTGATGCCATTGTTGAAGCAAGGTGAGTAGTAAACTTTGTCTTAATAATAAATGTTTGCTCGCCCAAGCATTTTTTGATCTGGTACGCTTCTTTTATTGCAGCAATCTCCCTCTATCAATTATATTAGTTGGTGTTGGTGATGGACCCTGGGACATCATGAAGAGACTTGGTGACTCTACTTGTAGTCGGGCATTTGATAATCTCCATGTAAGATCTCGGACTTTCATTCATTCTTGTTTCTTACTCATGATTTTGGCTTATTGATTATTGGAAAATACTGAATAGGAAAGAACATCTCTTTTGTTTGTAGTTTGTGAATTTTACGGACATTGTGACAAAGAATGTGCCCCCTTCACAAAAGAAGGCCGAATTTACACGAGCAACTCTGATGAAAATTCCTTCTCAGTATATCGTAACAAAAAACTTATCTATGGCAGGGTACTAGTGTTCTCGATATTTCTCATCTGTTAAAGCATTTGATTACCTGTTGACACCATTCTTCATGTTTAATTTCTTCCTTTAAAATTGGCAGTGGTTGGACTGGCAATTTACCAAATGGTTGCCCTCGCAATGTCCTCTATATTTCTTATCGGGAAAAGCTGTTGATTACCTGTTGACATCATTTTCATATATATTTTCTTTTAAATGAACAGTGGTCAGACTTTTAAGAGGGCTTCACCTGCTGTCAATTCTGCCAATGAGAATGAGGTATACAGAATTTTAAGCTGACACATCTAAATTTTGTTCACACAGTTCTTCTAAAGAAACTGGTACTTGTATTATCAAGGGAATTTTAGATTCGGAGGTGAAAAACCTCATATTGCACATTAGAAGTTCATTTTAATATATGCAGATATATTTTGATGTGTTTATGAAAGGGGTACTCATGAACAATAAAGTAATAACCTAAACTTAAATGTGGTAACTGCGAGTATTTACTACGTAGATGTTTATAGTTTTGTAGTAGCTACTTTTGTGTTGAATTCAAAACCGTGTAAGACAGGCGTCACATGAGATTAAGCTTAGGTCTATTGTTGCTGCCGGTCTTTTGTGTACGGCATAGTTTGACTGCATTTTTTATTGTTCTGTTCTGTACAGTCCTTGTATTGTAACCAAAATGTGAAAGTAGTAACTACGAGTATTTAGTGCTTTGATGATTGTAATTTTGTAGTTGTGACTCTTGTGTTGAATTTGAAACCCTTGAAGCTTTTATGTGCATTTTTATGGGTAATTTAATGTGTTTGCAACTTTATGTTACGATGATTCTACGATTTATTACTAGGATGACATGGTCTTGTACAGGATTTGGACGGTCTTGTACAGGATTGTCTGTGTGCAAGTAATTCAGTGAACATGGTCTTGTATTGCGGGCATCAGGTGCTTTTTTAGTTGAGTTTTCAGTACAGATATGTTGTGATTGCTGAGAAGACATTGATTTTTCTTCCCCTCGGTGCAGATATGTAGCAACTGCAAACCAAAGATTTATCATTGTCCATATTGTCGGATTCCTGTGGGCACCAAAGATTACAAATTGATGATTACAAATTGATATAGGGATCTGAAAAGGTTTAATTGTCGACCATCTATTGTTATATGCATATGCAATTGCTTGCTTCTTTCTTTTACTTACTGTGTTTTCAAGTGTTCATTTACATGCTGTTGAACAGTTTTATTGGTCATGCTAATCGGAGAGAACATTTTCGCTATAATTTTCCTTAATACAAATCATCTGTTGGTGCAGACATGATTCGGATGCAGGCGAGCCCTTCAGTTATTGCCAATGTGCAGAAGCAGCCATTTACACGATCATGTTTTGTAATTGAATTGTTGCAGAAACTACACGAAAGTCAAATAGTACGTAGTTGGAGACCGATGAAAGAGGAATATTTGTGTCAATAATAGACAACGCTTTGTAACCTCCAAGATCGGATGTAATTTGGGTGTATAGAATCAAGTACATGGCTAATGATTTTACATAGAGATACAAAGCAGGGTTGGTTGCTATAAGGTATCATCAATATGATTGCTTATTGCTATTTGATTGCTTCTGTCATTTCCTACCCAATTTGGCTGGTTTATTAACCAAATTTGAAATTGAAGAGGTTGATCCTACAAGAAACTGAAGAAGTTGAGGTTTAGCCATAAAACTAAATTTGAAACATAGTGTGTAGATCAACTTCTTATAAGCACGTGTAAGGTTCCTTTCTTGATTTCGGACTCACCTCTCAATATGCCTCGTCACGTGTGGAAGCCTAACATGTATACTGTGGTCGAGAAATGTGTAACCCGCTAGGATATTATGGAGGAAGTTAAGATTCCACTATAAAACAATCGACAATATAAAAAGTAGTCCAACTCAGTATGACACGAAAGATCTTTTACTTTCCTTGTATAGAATTCACTCTCAACATTACTCGTTTTGTAAGTAAGCTCAACATATATCTCTTTATCCATTTAGGCAAAAGCCCCAGTGGGCTTGGTTTGATGAAATTGTGCCCGGCTTTATTCTGTCTTGGCCTTGATGCCTATATTGCACACTTTATTGATTAAACATTAAACATGATTAGTTACCTTAGTCTTGCTCCATGTAGATTATATTCTTTGTCACTGGAAACTTTACAGCCTCTTGTCCAAATATTCTTCCAAAGTTTAGGGCCGTTTGGTACCCTATTTTACAAACAAAACTCAAAAACATTTAAGGATCCATACGGTATTGTTTTACAAAATAATTTTTGGACAACTATTTTATAAAACAAAACGACAAATAAGATTTTGCATTTTTATGATCTGAGAACAATCTGGTAGTTTAACCCAAGAATGATCTTTTGATCGCATCTGGTAGTTTAATCCAAGAATGATTTTTTGAAATGAAAAATTAAAAACGTGTCTAGTACCAATATCTAAAATGTCAAAGAAAAAAAGTAATAAATTTGTATTTGATAGTAATGTTTTTGTAAAACTATTAAAATGGCAGCGGTGGTGGTAAAGATGATGGTTGCAATGATAGTGGTGTTGGTAACAATGGTGATTGAAGTGCTGGTAGTAATGGTGACAATAGAGATGTTAGTAATGGTGGAATATTGGTGGTGGCAATAATGAGGTAGGGGTAGTGGTGGTGGTTGCGGCAACTATGGCAGAGGCTGATGTGTTAACAATGGTCGTAAGGGATGGTTTCAGAAATGGTGGTTGAGAGGTGGCGAGGATTGTGGAAGTGGTAGTGGAATAAGGGTGATGGCGGTGGTGGTGATGGAGGTTGTAGCATTGAGACAATGAGAGGGTGGAGGTAGGTGGCGGTGATAGTGAGATGGTGGAGGATGCGGTGATAATGATAGTGAGAGGGTGGCGAGAATGATGACGGTGAATAATATGGTAGTAGTGGTGGAGGTGGCGGTGATAGTGAGATGGTGGAGGATGCCGTGGCGATCAGGGGCAATGGTGGTGACAATGGTGAAATGGTGAAGGTGGGTGGTGGTGGTCATGGAGTTAGAAATGTGCTAATCATGAGATGATATTTTACGACATTTCAAATATTAAATTGATTTAGTTTAATCCAAAGGCAAAAATTATTGTTTATAGCTCTCTCATTAAATGTTATACACTTAAACAATAAGCCCAAGAAATAAGCAATGGAGGGAATGTAAAATTAGTACATACTAATCCGATAAAATTAGTACATATTAGAAATGTACTAATCCAATAAAATTAGTACATACTATATATTATGTCTTCTCTTTAGAGAGTGATTAATAGAAGGTGAGTTCACTAAATGCAATTAAACATGAGTTCTCGTACTCATGTCACATGACAACTCACTCGTTCAGATAATGTAAAATAGTCATTTGATCTGAGACACCATAGTTGCCTTATAGATATGTCTTTGACTATTTTGACAATATGTCATAACCACATGGTTTCTTATGCGCATTATTGAAGTCCTAGACTTATTTAAGAAACCATGTGAGTGTAAAATAAGAGATTTCTAACCTTCAACTTAGAAGGAGAGTACTATATGATATGATTCAAGAGTCTTTGATCATAGCACATAATGTGATTTAGGAAGCACGTTTAGAATAGAGATTTACATTAGATAGTAGACATGAATAAATTACCAACCAAACAATGTGATTAAAAATATTAATTTTATTGATGTACAAATTTGAGTTAATCTTGAGTCAACGTAAAATGTGATGAAGTGCCATTCGCAAAGGCGGTTTGATCGAGAGTAGGCGGGCAGAAATGAAGAACAAAACGAGCATTTCCTGCCATCCTTATGACAAAAGATTAAAGAATGCATTCCTTATCACAACACACAAATGACAAAAGGGTCTAGGGCGTATCACACTCACAAGGTAACCACCGAAATAATCCAAAGATAAGAACAAAACGAGCAATTCCTGCCACCCTTTGACAGTCTTATCCTACTGAAAAACTCAAATTTTCACTTTAATTTCCGAAAACTTAATAAGCACATATACAACAGATACAAGTGGTGTCACAATGCCATATACATGTGAAGATATTTTTTAAATCACACTAATTCATGATTTCTTTTTTTATAGGAGTAATGTAAATTTCATTAATAACATAAAAACATACATAAAGCTGACAACTAAAACATAATTGACTATGAAAAAAATTACCCAAATAAAACCACGTGAGAAAATTCCTGTGAAGGAAAAAGAGTCACACATACCACCACAACGCACAAATAACAAACAAATAACCAAAGGCTCTAGGCCGTTTCACACACACCCACAAGGTTCCCAGGCGGATAATCCAAAGACAAGAACAAAACGAGCGACTTTACCCACATGCATTCGTGCAATTCTTACTACGGTCGTTTATGTAGCTCAAGATAGACATGGCAGTTTGGCCCCCAGTTAAAACAAGAAGGACGATGGCGTAGAGAACTGAGATGAAGGACCATGGCTTGCTAAAATAAGTTCGGATGAAAGTAGCCCAATGGCTGCTGTAATATGCCTCCACATCTCTGAATTGCTTGGTGAGGTAGCATTCCCTTATGTTGAAGACAGCCTTTTCCCCCAACTTTTTGAACAGCTCCGCTACGTTGTGGTCATTGTATGAGAAGCCACTAGTGATGATCCCATCAGAACAAAGGAGTGTGACGTCTCTAGGTGAAGTGATGAGGCTGCTCATGAAAGCAATATAGGTGGTGAACCACGTAGGACTGTTTTGGTAGCATTGTTCCCAGGCCATGCAGTTAATGAAGAGGGTAGTGGTGAAGTCGTTAATTGCTATAGGTGGGATTTGTAGTACCTTACATATGCTACCGTGGAAATTGATGTTCAAGAAGCTGTCCGCTCTTTGTGGCTTGAAGTTGATCCCGGAGGATCTTAGTTGTACGGTGCACTGGATTGATTCGCAGGATGGACGGTATTTTGGAGAAGGGTCATTTGGATTTTTTTGTTTTTTGGTTTTATTGGTTGATGGATCATTTGGATTAGTACTTTGTTTTTGGGGACGGAAGCTCGAGTAAACCAAGTCAAGTAAGTGCTTGGGGTCCTCTGAGGGTTGTGACTTTTTAAGGACGTCAATAGGTCGATGCAACAAATTATTGAACAAATTCAGCGCAAGAAGGACTAGAGAATAGCCCTTTTCTTCCTCTTGAAGTTGATTCGTGGAGACAAAGTGTAATTTTTGGAGGACGGAGAAAGGGATTTGATTTTCAAGTTTGAGGAGGTCCCTAGTAACAATTGGAATCAACCATGGCCTGCTTAAGATGGGATCGTTTTTCTCCATGGGATCTTCCGTATTCATACGATGAAAAAGCTCAATGATAAAGCACCCATCAAGCACCATCATTTCAACAAATTCATCTCCCTTCAACTCGGAGAAGAACTCACAATGATGATCTTTGGAGTAGCAACTTCTTGTGCTTTCGTTGATAGTTCTCATGGCTTCCAAGTAGTCTTTTTTGTTACGCTTTGTTCGATCAAGGAAGGCAGCTTGATACAAATGCTTGGTGCTCTCAAATTCCGATTGGCTTCTCTTGTCGCAGTGCCATGGCCCAACGAAGACCATTTCAGGCTCAGTGGCTTTGCGACTGATTTCAGCGAGGCTGGCAGGAACTTTGTATATGGACACCGAGTTCCCATCCCTTGTTCTTGGAATTTCTTCTTTTTCATTCTCCTGGTGCCCTTCTGTATTGCTACCCTCGGGAATTATTTCTTCCCCTCGGTGCCCTCGTGCGGTAGCTGCAGGGCTAGGCTCGGAAGGTCCGGTTTCAATATCGCCCGGCATACTGTCACACGCACTGAACAAGGAATGGCCAGCTAATTTGGTCAAAATATGAAAGAGATGTTCACCGAGTATCAATCCCTCTCTTTCTTCTTTTTTCTAATGCTGTGAACAAGAAATCTTGGGTGGTACGTTATTCAGGCTAAGCTATGACGCTTTATACATAATTAGATAAAAATTGTATAGTTGTATAATGGATATCAATTTCCATTGAGCTTCCATTTCTCTTGTAGCAAGTCAATTTCTCCTCCATATAATATTTGCGAGGGCCAGGAGGAAAGTGTTCCGTAAGTAAACTGATGGAATCATTTAGATTAAGTAATACAATGCTCTTTCATTGTGCTTGAAGAACTTGAGGTTTAACCGCAAAACTAATTGGCAATTATTCTGAGGGTCACATGTAAAAGTTCAGAAACATTTCTTAGACATATATAATTACCTTACAAATTAAACCATATTGTTATCATTTATAATTTATAGAACAAATAACAATACAAGTTACACTTGTCCACGACATGTTTTCATATTTCGAAAATGCTGCATTATATATAGTTTTATTATCAATGGAAAAAAAACATTGCTTTTAATATAAAAAACCATGCTATCACTCAACCACTGATCTCCCATTCGCTTATGCAATGGGCTTTTCACAATATTCATAGTGGAAAAGGCTATCTCCAGTGAAGCAGTAGCAACCGATAATATCAAAGTCAACGTAATTAGCAAATACACATGATTATCTTCCCGTCTTAACCAATTTTTATTGCAAGACTAGTAATTCCT